ACATCTCACACTTACAAACACACACAAAAGCACAGCACTCACACACATACATATCTGCCTGAGTCATCCCAAAGGCATTTGCAACCACCTCACCAAAAAGGAAAAAAAACACAGCAGAACACACAAAGGGCTTCAGAGGGCTCAGCTCAGTCTCTCTCTCAGACGCAGCCCGAGGCGTTGGATTCTGGATGTGTACACTTTGAGCTCGAAAGCACCGCTGCTCATTAAGGATCCGTTTACAGCCTTGGAGGTACAAATGCAAGCCTCTTTAAATACACAGACAGGGATTTATTTGACCACCTAAATGAAGGTCGGCTTGACAGCTTCTTAGCAGAGAGGTACTTCGCCTCCTCCCATTGTTACAATAAAGCAGATACATGTGAACTCGCAGAAAACTACTTCTCACCATTGTCAAAACGCACACACACACACACACAATGAACTGTGGATGCATAATAATAATAATATATTTTATTTATAAGCGCACTTTTCATTTGCGTAAACAAAACTCAAAGTGCTACAAAATTAAAAAGGGTGAAACAAAAACAACAAAAACAATAAAAACAATAAAATACAATTTAATAAAAAGGACATCTCCCCTTTCAGCCACTTGAATGCACATTTTCATCCGTTATTTATTCAGGGGAGGTTCTGCTGAGTGCTGATTTTGCAGCGTCCTTCCTCATTTCTATGTCCTTATTAAACACAATTTCACACTTGCAAGTCAAGCAGAGACTTCACGGAGTCACCTTTCAGCTTCGCTCAAGTGGGCGTTAATCACGTTTGACATAACAGGTATGACTTCTTAATTGCATCTGTTGAAGAGGTAATGAATTTGTTTGAATTCTGATCTTTTCTATTCTCAGTTACAGGTGCACATCTTTTAAATCCATCTGTTGAACGCCACACCAGGGGTTGGATCTATCCCAGCATGCCCTAGACAAACACTCACATTCGCACATATGAGCAACTCAGGGCTATTTCAGCTAACCTGCATACATTTCAACCGCAGGAGGAAACCTGAGCAGCTAAAGAATCCCTCTAGGGCAAACATTTACTTTACTTACAATGTCAGTTAACTGGAATCCTACTCAAGAGATTACAGATTTAAATGACTTGTTTTGTCCTACGAACTGTCTGAAACAAACCAAAAGGTTAGTGTGAAATATAAGAACAACTGAGAAGAAATGGACATTTTCACATTTGAGAAAGGTGTACGTTTTATCATTTAATCTCAACTGTAGTTAGTTATTTTGCTGTTAATAACTTAGCACTAAAACCATGTGGACATCAGAACTAAATCAACATTTAAAGCCCCCTTATCTGTGTTTGAACCCAGGACCTCTTTGAGCCACTATGCTGGCCAGGTACAGGTATGACAAATCAAACAACTCCTTCACAGTCTCAAACTACTTGCCAATGTGAAAACATCAACCCCAAAATGTCAAATCATACAATGTATTGCCAAAAAAGCTTTGTGTTGCAGGTACACACAACATTTGGCAACACAATCGCAGTTTCATTGACTGTTCAGATGCCATCTAATGAACCCTTTCATCCAAAACAGTGCAGTAACAATACAGTGTGACCTCAGTGTTGCTATGCCACTTCCCTCTGAGCTCTCAGAATGCTCCATAGCACAATGTTAATGCACTGGAGGACAAACTGGGATCAATGCCAGCCATGTTTAAATTGGGATTAGACTCTGCTAACAGCAGCAACTGAATAGCATTAGAGGTTCAGAAGATTTAAGTAGAAGCACATCCGTTTTGACTGAATGTTTGTCAACACCAAAAACACCCATTCTGATGCAGGACACACAACAGCATTATATCCTACATCAACAGCTGATTTCAGAGTCTAATACATTTAAGGATACCACGACTTAGTGTTTACCGGCGAGGCTTATTCAAGACAAAGGGCACGTAATGTCAACAAACTAACACAACATGCTATAACTTTGATACAAAAAGAAAACATGTTGATTCATTTACAAAAGATAGAATTTTATATTCCCTAAGTTGGATACACAGAGTCTGTTGCTAGGGAGTGAGAGGCAGGCTCTGCATGAACAGCCACACAAGTCAGTCATTTTTCATTAGTATCATCAACAGAAAGGATGATGTTGACAAGAAATAGGTACTTTGTCTTTGAAAATGTATTCAACTCGTAAAATATGTACCAAAGGAAAAACATTGCCAGCTCGATATAATTATTAGTTTCAGATCTCGTTTGTTTTTATTGTTCCATTTGTTATTTGGTAGACTGTCTACGTAGAAAGTGAGTGTACGTGAGCTCACTAAACACAGAGAGAAAAAGACACCATTTGTAAAGCCACTCACTCATAAACTCATTACACAGCATAACAAAGAGACAGGTAATATCCATACCCATAAAATAATCATAAAAGGATAAAACAAATGGGTAAAATAAAACCCAACTCATGAGATAAAACACCTGTAGAGAAATTAGCAGAAACATCAAACGAGCTCAGTAGATAAAAAGCATGTAAAACGTCTGCTCTAGAGCATAGCTGTGTAACCTGCAGAGTGGCCTGTGGAGCTAAGACTGTAGATTTAGAAACAGCCTCAGGAAGTGTGGGTTTCTAGAACCTGGAATTTATTTTCTGGGCTTAATTTAAGAAGGGAGGAAATTAAAGCAGTTGTTAGCTAGGTGAGAGGGGTCCCTAAGAACTTTAGGACCCTTTATTGGTAGTCTAGCTACAGATTTCCCCAAGGGGTGGGAGATCACTTCCAATAATGCGGACGAATACGAGCCACTTCTCCGCTGACAAGCCATATTGCATAGGTAAGGATGTTGCTCCCTGCGTCTCCTTAAAACTGCATCCCTATTTTTTTCAAATGTCTTCAAAAAAGTAAGTCTAATGCGCTTCAGAGTCTCCATTCGGTTAAGCCACTGACTCTGGGTGTTAAGGCACACACGCTCTGACCTTTCTCCTATCATAAATCACACACTGCTGTTCTGCTGCCAGGATTTTGTTTAACCCAATTTGTCACCGAGGACACCCCCTTCCACTCTAGCTGCGGATCCGCACAGTGGGACCGGGGAGCATGGGATTAGTGGGCGGATCAAAGTGTGCCATCCAGACCTCTCTCTCGCCTTGTAATCGTGGAAGTCAGCAGCCCCTGGAGCTGATGATGGTAACCAGGCAAAGAGAGGAAGATGGACTAGAGGCAGGCGCGGAAACATTTATCAAACACTGATTCATCTATGAAATATACTTTAAGCATTAAGTCTGCGAAAGTAGGGACAGAAATACCCATCACATGTTCTGGAAGCCGAACCACAACGTGAAGACTTGCATTTGAAAAAGTAGAAACAGGAGTGTATTTGACCTTTTGTTTGGAACATGACTTCATTAACATGCAATCCCCTTTTTTAGAGAAGAAACCCAGAATTGAAAGGCAGAAATAAATGTCTATTATTCTTGAACCTGTTCATTTACAACCATGATCCTGATGTCTTCGTAAAGGTTAACTCTACTGAGCGAAATATCAGCCAGAAGTCACAATTAGTTGAAATGACACGGAACTGCATTTACCTAAATACCAAATGTATTGTGTTTTACTTGCCTATGACGAATAACTTCCTTGTTCTACTGTTGTGGTTTGAAAAGCGATTATCAAAGCTGTTCTGGATTCATTCTGATTGACTCGTTCATGTTTTACTTCTTGAAACAAGGTTAAGGGAAAGCAAGCTATAGTTACAAAAGCCAGCAGCAGTCAGACAGACACGATCAACTCACACATTATTATGACAGAAACAGGTCACGGAAGGTGTGCCAAGAAATATCAGGCAAACGTGCTGTCTGAGGGCAATTGCTGTGGTGTGATTGCTGTTTTGACAATAAGAAAAAAACTAAATCATTCAGTATGCAGGCATCCCTGATCTGACAAACCCCAGACTCCTCATCATACAGTAATAAAGGCTCGGCGGTGCTTCAGAGCACACTTCAGGGTGAATACTAAAGTCAATAGGAACCTTTGCCACAGCACACTTTCACTCTGCTGCTGTGGTCATGTAAACTTCCAGTGGCACCCAACACTTCCTCATATCGGCTTTGGGAAATATGAATGAGCTCAAGCGTAGAGGGAGGTTCATAGAGTCTGAGGCGAGTGACATATACGATCCAAACCTCTAATCGTACCACCATGTCCACTTGTGTTTTGTTTGAGCCATAATATATACCAAGATCCATCTTTGACTGTCTCTGCAAAGGACTCAAATCATTGACTTTGCCTTTTCACTGCCACCCTTTTGCTATATGACTCAATTTCAAATAAAGAAGAATGGAAACGAAATATTTGACGAATTACAAACACTTTTCTCTATGTTTCCAGCTCTATATTGAGCTACTAATTTTTTTTAGAAAGGTCACAAAAAGTAAAAGCAGAGTATTATATTCTTTCTGAGTGCTGGATTATATTCATGTGTCACTTTATAATCTAAATGTGATGTCAAAGCAATGCAACAATAAACCAATTTCAGTGACACATTTCATTGTCCCAGTTATTCAATGCAAAATGTGCTGAACCACAGACAGCATATCGACTTATAACATGAAACAACAAACCATCAAAACATAGATCTAGAGACATGGTTAACTTTGGGTTTGGCAGAAGATAACCACCACCTGTGTGGCAGCTTCACCTGTGCAAACCTGATCAGGCCCTGCATGTGTTAAAACAGCAAACATCTGTTACACTGCTGTATTATCACACGTTTTATGATGCTCTCGACTGGGCTAGGGCCAATAAGGGGGCTTGTTGTGACGGGAAATATTACGATCTGTGGACCAAACGTGTGGAAAATCCAAACATAAAATGCTGTTAAAAATCTCATTGAGCTCTCCAATCAATGCATGGAACATGTCAGCAATCCCAAGGTGTGAATGAGAAATGTACAAGATTGTGTGTGTACAGTCACCAAACAAAGGTGTGAAATCAAAGCCCCATCCCCATGTTGGTTTGACAACTCACCTGTGACATCTGGGGTCTGAAATTGATCTCCTTCAGGTCCACTGATCCCGGGGAGAGGTTGTGCAACATCTGGCACAGCAGCACCCCATCTCGCAGGGCCTGTGCCAAGTCGAAGACGGCCGCCGAGGGCCACACGACCCGGTGGTTGGGGGGCAAGACCTTGCAGTCTATCAACCACCGCCCGCATTGTCTCCACTCCTCCATAGCGGCTCCGGAGACTCCACTCAAAGTAACCGAGTCCTCCAGCGGGTTCACAGCGGGCTCAAAACGGTCACTCACGGCGAACAAGCAAGCACTACTGTCGCCTCCCCTACCTGCACCGGGTGTCCTAATCATTCACTCTCTACAGCTCTATAAATCAGGCTATTTCGCAACTGTATGTCACCGCGCTAGATCCCCATTCCAGACGCATGTCAGCTCTCCTGTCTCCACAACATGGAAATGAAGGCTTGGGGGAAATAATAATCCAGTTCCGCGGATGTGACCAGATAAAAGAAACGTGCTATGGGAATTTTCTCCTCTTCATTCTTAAAAAGTTTGCTTCGCATATCCAATCCAAAAAGGCGAGTGTGGAGGGTTACAGTACCTAGTACTAATGAAACAGCTGGGTACAGCGGTTTGTCATGTATCTACTTCACGAGGGGCTCACATTTCATAGAAGCAAACAGCACAGCCTACTAATATACAATGTAGGGGGAACAAGCAAGTAGTTGACGAACTGAAAGCCCGGAGTCCCCTACCTACCTACTGCATTTGCATTTAACGTTCCCAATGAAGCCAAAAACATGAACTTCCCGTAATTTCCATAGCAAACAATGAAGAAAACAGAGGAGTATTTCCTCAGCGCAGGGATAACCCTTGTTCCATACAGTCCAAACAACGCACCGCAGGGGGGGGGGAATCAATATTTACATTTATCCGGTTAATGTGACTTTGTTTGCCGCCTTTCTGCACGCCCAAAACAGCGTCATCCTTGTGTACAGCTCGGTTTGTATGTGATTTTCGCCTCCCTTCCGCTCGTGTCCTCTCTCCCCCGTCTCCCTCTCCTCGTTTCCCCTCTCGGACGGGGATGTTTAGCGGTCCCAACTCCAGGCACGAGCCGCACTGAAAGCTTCTAGAAGTCTCACGCGGGGTCCACCCAGGTGGTTTAATGAGCTTGCGCGCGTTTATTATCCCGTGCAAGGGTAAAAGTTGAATAGTGTCCACACTTTCGTTAAAGTGGCTTCCACACTCAGAGAATGTGAGTTTCAGGGAATATTTTTGGGGCTGAGAGGATGCGCCCTCTGACGGAGGAAGCGCACACTGCGACTGACACAAGAGGATTAAAGGGACAGTTCCATACAAAAAGGGTTATTGACTGTTAATTGCTAATTGTTTGATCTGCCCAGTTTGAAGTGAATTATTGTGAGTATTCAACAACTAAAGGTGCAGTCCACCATGTCCAAATTACGGTAGTTCATTTGTCATATAAAGTAATACTCATATGTTGTCATAATCCTAATCTAAAGCCCTTTATTTGTCCAACAAATGAAATTAAAGGGGATGGTGCAGATAGAAGGCAAACCTAAAATGAGAAGTCAGCAAATGTCAAAACAATTAAATTACAACATTACAAATAAATTAAAACGAGTACACAACTCACAGCATTTTTTAACAAAAAGGTAGAGTCGTGGGCATTTACACTGAATTGCATTATGGGAAATGTAGGATCCACTGTTTATGGAGCTTGACCCATACATGCCAACACAAACTCTCAGGTGTATAAAACCCTACTCAGAATACACTATACATCACAAACTATAATGAGAACATTTAATATATTTCCATGAGTCTGTGATATTCAACATGAGTCAATTAACCTTTATTTAATCAAGTTACAATGTGAATTGTCACCACACCTATTTATTCATAATGTTTATAGATTGGGTTTAGTTTGTGAGGGGTTAAATGTTTAATAATATGAAAACACCCCACACAAACCATAATTGCCTTGGTTGGAAATGCACTGAAAAATGTTTGGCTTGTCATGACTTGTTTCATTATGTAATTTTTGGGGACGACTTAAAGTCTGAACCAACACTGATAGGTTGGTAATGATGTATTTCCTTATTAATCTTGAATGTCTTTTTTTCTTTTCCCCATCTTTATTAGATTTCCCAATGTCATTCCTTGTTAGTAAAATAATCTAAATTCTTCAATTAATCACTTAATTGACACTAAAAACAATATGCCACCTGTTTCTTGTTAAACCCTCTTTGTCATGTCTCATTACCTCCTCAGCTCAGTCATAATCATCTCTTCCCACCTTCACATTTCCACAGGGACGTAACAAATGTGGCTTAATTTATCGCTGGGCATAAAATAGAGCAGCGCATCAAAGTCTGATGTTCTGAGCTTCTCCTTTCTTCTCTATCTTTTTAATGATTGAAAAGCTGGATTTATATATGAAGATTATATGTACAAGTGGACTCATTGAAATTATAGAAGATTATGGCTTTAGGAAAACAACGTTCAGTTGTTCGCAGCCAAACACTGTGCACTCTTTGTCGTCAGGCCAGTGAAAGTGGCGTTTCAGACAAACATGTGGCAACTCCATTGTATAAAGTATAGGAAAATAAATGCATAGAGAGGTTTGGATGGGGTACCCTACATTCCGGCTCCATTATTTTTATATTTCACATTACAATGGATGTCAGTAAGGTATAAAGATACAACACATAAGATGTTATAGTAATGAGGCTAATAGATAACACCATACAAACTTCCCTGGATGATGGTACACATTATGGCAATTATCTACTGCAATAAAAATGTTCTGAAATGTTATTTTTAAATATTAAAATTGTGCATTATCTTATTTTGCATTGAAATCATTCCCTCCCTGCCTAAAACGCCTTGATTGGACTACTTTGCCTCGATTGGACTACTTTGTATACTTCCGTAACATAGTGTCAGCACTATGTTACACTCGCGCTTCTATTGGCTTGCGCTCCAACACATTGTATGTGATAGGCTAAGGGGCGGGGCATCTCTAAACAGTTGACCAATCTCAAAGAGTCGGCCAACCAATCAGAGCAGACTGGGCTCTGGTTTCAGACAGAGGGCGAAAAGAGGTGCTGCAGCACAGGCATTATTAGAAAAACAGACCTTTTTGAACATTAAAGCATTTAAACATGTCACAGTAGAGACACAAAATACAAATATGAACCAGAGAATTAGCATAGTAGGTCCTGTTCAACTATTTGAAAGTGTGGATAGTTTTTATGAACATAGCACCTTAAAAAGCAAACAGGTTTACATCAAAAAGACATATTTAGACATACGTACTGTATACTTGCATGTATAATTAAAATTAGATTAATATACAAAAAAAGAAACATGAAATTAGTTTACGCAGAGAAACAGTCTGAAGCCAGATCATAACAGTGTGTTTGAGGGTGCCTTTTAAAAACATCCACAGACTCAGCCTGTGTAATGGCCGCCGCAGGCTATTCCAGAACCTGCTTCTGAAAAAGTGTAGTGCAGAGAAAATGCTATCTGCAGTTTCGCACTGCTTATGACCCCATAATAATGGAGTCCTCCATGAGCTGTTGGAGGTGATCTGTATTCCAGGCCTTCTTCCCTCAGTAATCACCCAATGTATAAGTGTGCATCCACTCTCTGATGCACCTGTTGCCAATGAGATCATTTGGGCTGCAGAGTAAAGGTTTTATCTATGAGCTGTGGCTTTTTGCTTGACTGCTGTCAGCTTCACTAATGGCGCGTTTCCACTGCAGCGGGTAGCCCCGTTTAAGCGTTCTTAACCGTCCTCAAGCGGCCAGGCCGGTTTTTGGTGGCGTTTCCATATAGCCTAGTACCGGCCAGCGGGTACTTTTTCCCTCTTTTTCCGGCCTCATAAAATCGTGGTTCCCTCAGAGCAGGGCCAGGGCTGAACTAGTGACGTCAACACTCTCGACTGCTGATTGGTCAGAGAGAATCGTCACAAGATCGCGCGCGAGTTCATCCCTAGCGTCGCATATATATTTAGAAGCAAGCTTGCAGCATTTTTATAAACAGCATTTTGTAAACGGATGAGCTACAAAAATGGCTACGTCTAATAAGAAAAGCACACCGTGGTCGACCGAGGAGGTGACGACGTTCCTACATCTCATTGGGGATGATCAAATCCAGCGGGAGCTCGACGGAACAACTCGAAATGTGAACAAAAACAAAGCCGATCGCCCCGCCTACACTGCGTTGCTACCCCAGGTCCTAAACTGTAATGGAAATGCGCCACGGCCTGGGCCGGCCAGCGAGGCAGCCCGAGGCCAGAGCGAGGACGCTTAGGGACGCTTAAACGGGGCTACCCCGCTGCAGTGGAAACGCGCCATAAGGCTACTCCTCTGATTGGCTGCTGCCCCTTATTTCTGACCCAGAGGTCCAAGCCTGCAATATAACAAGCAAAAGCCAACAACTAACTGACGTCCTGTTTGACACAGGGAGTATTTCATTTGAGGTCAAACAGTTCAGGGTCTGGAAGAAGAGCCTCACACATTGGTTGCAGAGTTTGCAAGGGCAGTTTTAAAATAACGCCTCTGAAGAGATGGCTTAATTTTTTCCTCAAAATCATTTTTATTTCCCAGAGTCCATGTCATGCATTGCTAGGTCAACTTTCTCTGCATGAAAACAAAGATGGTGGCCACCACTTTTTTACTTTTTAAATATTTTCAGCAAGAAATTTGAGTTTTACCCTCACATTCTTTGTTCATTGAAAGTGTTTAGTTTGATGATAAGGATTATCTAAGGCTTTAGCAGAAAATGGTGTGAATGCAATTGCAACGGTGGTTGCTATGGGCACTTTTTTTGGAAAGCTAGTAGAGCATGTTGTTCGGCTCTTCGTTATAGCTGTCGCAACCCTGTCTCCTAAAAATTACGTTCCCACAGAACTAAACTGCATTCTCAATTACGTTTAGCTAGAAACGTATTCTCTCCCACGTTATGTTCGTTATGAACGTATCTCAAATACGTTTATTTCTACATATCTTCTAGAAACATATTTTCTCCCACGTTACGTTTCTTATGAACGTATCTTAAATATGTTTATTTTCGACATATCTTTGCCATTTATTGTCTTGCTTATCAGCTTATCAGTAGGCGAGGCTGTAATTTCGCCAGCTGTTACTCTCATGAGCGAGGCAGAAAATAATAGTTTTAACATGACAAAAAGCTGCTCTGTCGTTTATTGCACCTCAAACATTAAAACAAATCCAGAGTTACGTGTTTCTGTACTTCCTCTAAGAAGAAAGGACAGTAACAGAAGATCTCTGTGACGCCAGATGTGGTGTTGTTAATGCGATATGATATCCGGAAAAAAAAAATGCAGTTTAGGATGGCCGAAGACACTACACTACCCATAATCCCCAGCTATCGTTTGGGACTACAGTCCCGTTGACAAACCCCGCGATTAATCTTCAAGCTCTGGGATTGGATGTTGGAGTGGCAGTGCACCAAGGTTACGCCGAGCGTCAATCGCTTTGAAATGGAACGAAACCACGGCAGACTATTCAAAACTGGACTCGAACGCCCCCCGAGAACTACACATGCTAGCTATTGTGTTTCGTAACATGTTCTCTATGGCACGTCTCTACTGGGAATTGTAGTTTTGAAAGATGTTTTCGTTTTTCCCAAAATTAGAAGTTGACAGTATTAAACTGTGTACAGCCCTGGAGGTTTAGGCGATAGGAAACACATTGGTGTGTACACATGTAATTACTAAATGGGTGAAAATCGCTTGTATCCATAATGGGCAGCATTAATATATACCCACATGACAGCTCATTGTTACTTTGTAATTCTACTCCACAATTCAGAGGTTAACCTGGTATTTTTACTCCACTACATTTATTTTAGTTACTTTGCAGATTCTGATTAATGATGTGAAATATAAACAACCCTTAAATCAGACTTTAGTTACACCTGAGTAAAATTCAGGGAAAGTGCCAACAATCAGGAGAGATATTTGATAGTTGGTGCTTGAGAAGACTAAACATTTATCTGCAGATCTCTATAAAGTAGGCTATTATTCATTAATCGTTATTCTCTACTAATAGTTAATTAAAAACTGTATATAATTGCTATTTTGCACATCCCTTTCAAGATTTTCTAAGGTTTATTGACATATCATATACACAACTACGGTGTAGTTATGCAATGAATGAAAAACGTGGGTCACAGGTTCCTCAACAGTGCATTACAAGACATCTATCAATATGTGTGTATACATACCTCCAC